TGGCTCCCATCTAAAATCCCAGAAATTTAGGAGACAGCAGCCGGAGGTCACTTGAGGCCAGGAATTTGAGACCAGCCTGGGCAACATAGCTAGACCCCATCTGTACTACAAATTAGCTGGGCATGGTCGCAAACCTGTAGTACTAGCTACTAAGGACGCTGAGGTAGGAGGATCACTTGAACCCAGGAGTTGGAAGCTACAGTGAGCTATAATCACAGCACTGAACTCCAGCCTGAGCAACACAGTGAGACCCTGTTTCAAAACAATTTTAAAAATAAATAAATAAAAACAAAACTTAGATACCACCTGGTCACCTCAACCTGCAAAATCAAGTTTTCCCCTACTGAGAAGAATGGGGACTTGAGAGCTGAGTTACAGAGAGATAATCTTCCTTTTTTTGTTTATGTTTTTTCTGTTTTTTTGGTTTACATCCTCAAGATCATGACCTGTGAAATTTGAATCTGATACACAAATAATTCCAGAGCAGTGTTGCTTCCCCCTACCACCAGCAATTCATTTGGCCACTGGAAGTCAGGACAAGCTTCCCAGAAGAGAGGTACCACTTGGGCTACCAATATAAAAGGACGAAAATATCGGAGTGATGGTGTTTCTTGCATCACTGAGTCCCTGGACAGCCTGTCCACTGATGCTGATATCTGAGCCTAGTGCTTCTCTGAATGTTGAGATTTAACTTTGATCCAATGAAACCAGACCAAGAAAGAAAAAAAGTCATTCATTGCTGACAAGGACATTATATTTCTCACAGTTTTATGATAATTTTTCCTTAGCTGTACTATATCTGCTTATTTGTCTCTTCTCCACGTGCTTAGGGTCAAAGTTGACCAAGACCAAGAATAATGTCTGGGAGCACAGTACTGAGAGCACAGCTTTAAAAACATGATAAATGCTTTAATACAGGAAATGAGTAGGGGAGAGGCATGTGGTTGTTTGGTGTTCTTCAAATACATAGTATCTTCCTTGACACATTCAGTGCAGCTCTCAGTAGGCAAGTCCCTAAATGTTAGCATATGTTACCATCTGTGGAATTAAGTGGCAGAACACGGCTTCAATTATTTTCCTTTGCAGAACACCACCAATTGCATTAGTTAGGACACAGTGGTGGATGCATTTGAGTTCCAAGCAATGATTAATCTATCACCGTTGGTATAGATTCCAACCAATCAGACAACCTACTGAAGTTTGTAAGGCAGGTAAACCTTTATCTTAGAATAAAAATCATGTGCTTTAGAGGAAAGAAGAAAACATATTCGTTTCCATAAGAGTTTTGTTTCTAAAAAAAAAAAAAAAATGAGAAGAAAGGCTCTGGGTTTAGGTGAGCTAATGAAGTTGTTGATAGTCATTAGATGACACTGGAATCTTTACTTGTCTGAGTGTGTTCTGTGCACCTCTCAGTGTGGGAACATAGGGAGATCCTCCAGCAATGCCACTGATATGGTCAGAAACTGCATCTTTCTTTCTCCCTGCTGAGATGAGATGGAGTCCTTTGTTCTAGAAGACCCATGGGGTGGTGCTGGGAGTAACCCTTGAGACAGGAACACAAATCTCAACCAATTTGTGGTTGCAGCCTTGAGTCTCACTATTTCCCATGGTGACGCTTAGCAGGGAATGGCAGATGCACCAGAGCAGCAGAGGACCTTCTATCTCCCTTCCTGTTAGCTTTTTATAATGTTTTATTGTGATCAGTAGCAGCTGGGAAGCTACTTGCAATCACTGAGCCTCAGTTTCTACATCTGTAAACAGGAGATAGGAGCATGGCCCTATGTCATGTGCTCAGTGAAGCCACTGAAAGGAGATAGATATGTATCAGAATTCCCTGGGCTTTTATCCTGCTTCTCCTGGGGACTGTCACCCACCTTCCCATGTCTGTCCTTTGTTGGTTTGACACTTGCTGTCACTTCTTTTCTTAGGTACCTATCTAGGGCTCCGTTATTCCAGGGATTCCAGAGTTATGGCACATGCATACCTCCATCCAAACATGTTTATGTGTCTCCTGCTTCACTAGGCTGTCCCCAAGGAAGATGTGGCTCCCACAACACACCTGGCACAACACTGCATGTGACATTACCCACTTGGCCTTGAATCTGACATGGAATCTGGCATGATGTTCACCCACTCGTCCCAGGTCCTGAGCAGCCCTGGAGGCGTAGGGGCCAGAGGGATGGGAAAAGGTGCCTTTCTAGGGTATCAGTTTCTGCAGGACAGCTGAGTGTGAGAAAGAATAAAGAGAGAAGGAAGTACACAAGCACAGCTTAAACATCATCTATTTCTACTGAGTTTTAAGAACTCTGAGATTTTGTTTGTTATGTAATCCATTCATCAGGCCAAGCAGACACAGAACTTGGGTCTGAGTGATGATAATGAGCTGATATGATTTTCACACCCTCATCACTGAGATCTCTCCCATCAGGAATGGGTCAGGGGGCTCACAGGTGGCAGCAACTGCTATTACAGGCCTCATCTCTAGCAGCTCCTGGGGCCTGCTCTCCTCCCATTAGAAAATCCTCCACTTGTCAAAAAGGAAGCCATTTTCTTTGAATTGCAATTCCACTCCCAAGAGGCTAGGACCATTTATTGGAGTCCTTGATGCTGTGTGACCTGCAGTGACCGCTGCCCCATCATTGCTGGCTGAGGTGGTTGGGGTCCACTTGGTCATCTGGGCAGCTGTTCTCTTCTCTCCTTTCTCTCCTACTGTTTCCAGACATGCAGCATATCCAGAGAGTAGGGACCACTCTTTGGTAAAGAACCTGTCTGATTGCTGTCTATGCAGGACTTTTGAAAGCTTCACAGGAAGCAGCACAAATTGATACTGTTCCACGAAGCCATCAGCTCCATCTTATCCATGCCCTGTGTCTTTTTTAGGGGTCCTCTTGCCAACAGAATCACAGTGGACCTGCCTGAAAGTGCAGTGACAGCAGCTGAGCCACAGCCAAGAGCTCTGGCTGTATTAATGACCTAAGAAGATGGAGTAGTCACCACAAAGTCACAGGAAGTCATATGCAGGGAACCACAATTTCGGCCAAGTCAACTCCACCAGCTTACTGGTAACCAACTGTGTATACAGCAACCTGATAGGGACCGGAGCCATGACAGTGAATAAGACCAGACTATGCCCTTGAGGAGCTCACCTCTGCTAAGGGAAACAGGCATGGAAACACACAATGGTGGTAAAGAGGAAAGAGGACAATAGGACTGCATGAAGGGGATGGAAAGTACCCAGGAGAGGAAACGGTTAAATGTGTGTGAGGACGTTGGTGAGGAAAGACTCTAAGAGAAGGCTTTGTCTGGCTGGGTTTGGAAGGATGTGTATGAGTCTTCTAGGGGGCACAGGCACACACCAGGCATAGATAAAGATCTGCAGGAATGGCTTGTTGGGATGAATTTCAAGTTTTCTGGAATGAGGACAGCCATGGAGACAAGGGCAGGAGAGAGGAGATTTAATAGATTTCATGCCAATGGCTCCATTTGAGTTTCTGATAAGAACCCAGAACCCTTCGACTCCCCAGTAACATTGATTGAGTTGTTTTTTATTTCACATAGAACATGAACTCAAAGCAGGTCAATGAGGGGTGTGTGTGATTCTTTGCCAACTGCCCGGTGGAGAAGCCTCTTCCAACTGCAGGCAGAGCACAGGTGGCCCTGATACTGGCTGCCACTCCAGCCCTGCCTCCTTCTCCAGCATATAAACGATCCAGCAGCCTCAATGAATCACTGCTGTGCAGTGCAGGAAAGCTCCATGCACACAGCCCAGCAAACAGCAGCACACAGCTGAAAGGAAGACTCGGAGGAGAGAGATAAGGAAGGAAAGTAGTGATGGATCTCATCCCAGACTTGGCCGTGGAAACCTGGCTTCCCCTGGCTGTCAGCCTGATACTCCTCTATCTGTGAGTAACTGTCCAGGCTCCTCTTCTCTGTTTCCTTGGACTTGGGGTGCTAATCAGGCCTCTTTTTCCCTTCTCTGTTTTGAAGATCAAAAAGGATGTTCAGGCCGGGCGTGGTGGCTCACACTTGTCCTCCCAGCCCTTTGGGAGGCCGAGGCAGGTGGACTGCCTGAGGTCAGGAGTTCAAGACCAGCCTGGCTAACATGGTGAAACCCCATCTCTACTAAAATTACAAAAATTACCTGGGCTTGGTGGTGCATACCTGTAGTCCCAGCTACTTGGGAGGGTGAGGCAGGAGAATCGCTTGAACCCGGGAGGCAGAGGTTGCAGTGAACTGAGATCATGCCACTGCACTCCAGCCGGGGTAACAGAGTGAGATTCCATCTCAAAAAAGAAAAAAAAAGATTTTCAAGGAGAAGTAGCTTAAGTTTTGGACGCTACAAACATATACAGGTTACGATGGATCTTTTGCAGATCTATAAAGGAATAAATAAGCCTCTCCCCCATCCATCTCTAGTGTCAAGAAGGGTTCAGGGACAGCATTGATACAGGATAATCTAATTGACAATGGTTTGGACCCAGCTTACTAAACCAGAATTTGGATTTTACATTTTTCCCTTTAACTTGCAGGAGAAGAGGATGAATCTTCTCACCGGTGGGATCCTGACATGCTAGGGCAGGTGGAGAGAAGTGTCACTCCCTACTGTGTAGTGGAGGCTTCCTGCCTGTCACATTTTACTAACTCAATTTCACAGTTATTAAGAGTAAGGGGCTGGGCGTGGTGGCTCACGCCTGTAATCCCAGCACTTTGGGAGGCCGAGACGGGCGGATCACGAGGTCAGGAGATCGAGACCATCCTGGCTAGCACAGTGAAACCCCGTCTCTACTAAAAAATACAAAAAAATTAGCCGGGCGAGGTGGCGGGCGCCTGTAGTCCCAGCTACTCGGGAGGCTGAGGCAGGAGAATGGTGTGAACCTGGGAGGCGGAGCTTGCAGTGAGCTGAGATCCGGCCACTGTACTCCAGCCTGGGTGGCAGAGCGAGACTCCGTCTCAAAAAAAAAAAAAAAAAAAGAGTAAGGAAACATGGTGATATGAAAATAGAAAATACAAACCTCGTTTTAATTCTTTCACAGAAAGTTTAGCAATTTGGTGAGTTGGGGTAACATAGTTTCCATCTACTGGCATTTTAACATGAATTGACATGGCTTAAATTCATCCTTTTTAAAGCCAGATTTTTTTTGGAGATAGACTATTTCCAACATGTTCCTTCTGGGTGATAAAAGAGGGCTATTAGTTCAGTATTTGTGACAATAAATATGTATAAAATAACCTCACCTTTCCAGAATAATGTCAGGAATATGAGTCTAATGCACAAATGTATATCTCTATGACAAGATTGCATGTGTCTTTTTAAAAATACCTTCTCAAGAGTTTATTTCAATACCCCCATTTCAAATAAATCTGCTTAGCAGGTTATCCTTAACTCTCAGGGCAAGGAAGTAAACAAGACTGTGAGTCTGTGATGATAGCAAAAGCATCCAGGTAGGATCAAGATGAAGTGAGAAAATATTCCTCACCCCTCAGGTAGAACTCCAAATAGATATTCATGGTTCCTGTCCCCCTAGTGGAGGTCACTTGAAGGGCAAACATTTTGGCATCTCATCTGCTTCAAGCTTGGACACAGGGGCACCATCAGTGTCATCTGTGTGTGGTTGGCCATGTTGTGGGGCTGTCACTTCAGATCTGGCAGTCAGGCAGATAGTACCTGAGACTTACACGATGCCGGTACAGCCCAGTATTCAGAAGCTATAGTGTAGACCATGTCCTTCTTAGGCCTATACAATTATGTGCAATAGATGACTGGCTTTTCTGTTAGCCTCTTCATTGAAAACTAAAGCAGCATTACTCTACCAAACAGAGGGAAGCTAGAAAGAAACGCAACAGTTTGCCCAGCCCAGCTTCTGCCTTGACATGGTACCAGACACTTGCCTAGATCTTTCCTGGGGGCCAATGCTGCTGACACATTAACTCAATAGTTTGTCCTGGCCTGAGAGATCATGTAACTTGTAGAAAGTTTAGAAGCAGAAATTAGTGTCATTGATTTGACTTGGCTGTGACAACAAAGGAAGGAACTGGAGTGGGAGAACCCAAGGTCACCCTGGTTTTGGTAGATGGTGCACACACTTCCACTAACTGTTCTGAGGCAAGGATCCAAATGCACTATTGGGCCTGGCTATGCTGTCTCTGCTGGGTTCTCCAAACACGAGCCTCCAGGCCATTTCTCAGTTGTATTTTGCCACATATTATCAGAGTCACTGGATTTGTACAGAACGTTTGGAACCTATACTGCCTTAAGGACAACCCTTTTAAAAAAGAGAAAACAAGGTCCTAATTCAACTGTCTGGAACATTTTGTGGTTACTTATGTGGAATACTGCATCTTTTCCTATCAACAGGAAGGTACGTGGACATTAGAAGGTGCCTTTCAGCTGAAAGCACATATGAGACATATGGATCCTTTTATATACACCATATTTTTCAGCCACATTTTCCCAATTTGCCTCTCTGGGGCCAAGCTTGTGGGACTAGCAGATTCATGGTTGAATTGATGGCTGGTGACCTCTTCCATCAGCCTTTCTTCTTCCTCCAGTCTTCCACCTCTCAGTAATATCAGACTGGGAAGGTCTTCACACATCCAGAACCCCTAGTTTGGGGAGTCCACACGTGACCCATCAAAGATGAGTTGCAAGCAGGCCTGCCTTAGGAAACAGCAGCCTTAATGCGTTTTCCAACAGAGATAGTTCATGTGCAGAGGCAATAAACTGCTTTGTAATTGATCACCTTGAAAAAAAAGAGCATGTCTGATGTTTTGGTCTTTTCTTCCATTGCTATAAGAAATATCACAGGGTGGATAATTTGTAAAGAAAAGAGATGTATTTGGCTCATGGTTCTGCAGGCTGTACAAGAAGCATAGTGACTTCTGCCTCTAGGGAGGCCTCAGGAAATTTACAATCATGGCAGAAGGTGAAAGAGAAACAGACAGATCTTACATGACTGGAGCAGAAGCAAGAGAGGGTGGGGAGGAGGTGCTGCCCACTTATAAACCACCAGATCTGATAAAAACTCATTGTCACAAGGACAGCACCCAAGGAGGATGGTGTGAAACCATGAGAAACTGCTCCTAGGATCCAATCACCTCCTATCAGGCCCCACATCCAGCATTGGGGATTACATTTCAACATGAGATTTGGGTAGGGGCACAGATTAAGACCATATCACTGACACTGTGCTTATCAGGTGAATATCACCAGCTAGAAGGCAAGATTCCACAAGAGGAGGAATGTCCTGGTTCTTAGTTGTGATTCTTCTGCACACTGTCATTCAGGGAAATATGAGTCAATCATCCTCCCCAGTAGCTCAAATCAACCAGATCATCTGACCACAGAGACTTAAGTGTAGCTGAAAGGTGCTCGCATTTCTACGAGGCCAATGGAAGCCTGGAGCACAGTTATCAATCTGTAGAAATAAGGACTCCGTGACTCCTCCAACACCTCTCTGTGAATGACGGCTTAAGAAGGCCCAGTTCCTAAAACAGGGTCAGAGCTTAGAGGGAAGGGAAAGCATAAATGACTCTGAGCAAATTCTAAAGACAGGGTCACCATAGGGTCTCAGTGACCCCCTGTGACCGAGTGGATGTAGTGATGCAAAATCTCATCATCACTGCAGGAAAAAAAAATTCACCCTTTCTACCTAGAATGAGAATCCCAAAATCAGGGAAGAGTTCACTTACTAAAAAGGCATAAGGGAATGAAGTGCCCTGGCGGAATTCCTGCCTGAACCTCTCAGGATCATTCACATTTGAGAACATTTATCAAGTATTCATTCCAGGAATGGGACCATGAAGACTTCTGCTGCTTTGAGCTAATCATTGTAACTTTTTGGTGTCTCATGGTGGAGGTGCCAAAGGACCTTATGAACAACATAATCATTGTCGTCAGAGTTACTGTTATCTTTTATTGCCTTAATGTTACCTCCCTCTCTTGCGCATTCCAGTTCCTCAGTCAGTGACTCACCAGTCCCTATATCTATAAAGTCACAATCCCTGTGGCCTGATTTCTGTTTCACTTTGTAGATATGGAACCCATTCACATGGACTTTTTAAGAAGCTTGGAATTCCAGGGCCCACACCTCTGCCTTTTTTCGGAAATGTTTTGTCTTTCCGTAAGGTGAGTGTTTTTGAGCTTCGTCTTTTGCTTCTTATGATTGCAAAGAGCAACTTAGTTCCATCAGTAAAAATGCTTCTCCTCAGGAGGAAGGTCTGAGGTTTTATACGTTCAGAAACAGTGTGTAGGCATCACCCAGAGCATGGCAAAGTTTACCCTGGGGCTCTCTTGCTAACTCTCAGGAACCTCAAGTTTGCTGCAGTTGAACAGCCCAAATCTCAGGTAGATCAGCAACTTGATGTGCAGACATTGTGAGCACCATAAAGAGCATTTCCTTTTTGCTCGATGTAGGTTCCCAGGAAGGTACAGTCATACTTAGTATTAAAAGTAGGAACAGAAGCCCCTGATTGTGGCTTGTTATCTGTGGACGTGAGAGTAAAATTTCCTCTCTGTAGCAAAATCTCATGAATAGCCTTTTTTCCCTTCCTCCTGCACAGTTTTGAAACTCAGTTTATTATTATTAGGGAAACCAAGTATTTACCATTGGGTCATTTGTACCTTGTTGAAGCCTCTCCAAAAAATGCTAAATTTCCTGAGGATATTCCCATGGCTCTACCACAGCTCTTACTCCCCATGACATCTTTTGCCACTTTGAGATACAGAACAAAGGTGTCCTGCTTTACTTCTTTTCCTTTGAAGGTTGCGTCTTGTGGGTGAGTCTGAGCAGGGAGTGGATGTAACTGAGATGAGATAGTGGTTGTCTATTAACCTCAGATATTTAAGCACAATATGAATTTGTGGGTTTATTTTTTACACAAAGTCAGAATCACATGCAAAATCACTATAAAGGGGATGATTTGACAAAATTATTAAATATTTAATTTCACTAAATAGTATGTCCTATGTGCCACATGGACTGTGAACTTTGGCTGAGCCTTTGTGCCTAACCTTATCTGATGCTCTGTTCAGGGCCTCGTCCCTGGATGGAAAATTATGAGCTCATCTCCACAGGGCCAGCAACAGCAGTCAGCTCTCTGGCTTAGACAATCTTTCCTGCATACCTGAGGCTTGTTTCTCAGATTCTAGTTCTCCCAAGTGAGGGCTCTGTTGTCTAATTTTTGCCCAGTAATTTCATCTTTTTTCCCTCTGCAAAAGCAATAATTTCCCTACTTTCACATGCATCCTTGTGAGGAGGCCAGCAAACAGGCTTTGTGTGAGCAATAAAGGTTTTTAATCACTTGGGTGCAGACCAACTGAGTCTGAAAAAGGAGTCAGCGATGGGAGATAGGGGTGGGGCAGTTTTATAGGACTGGCGTAGCAGTGGAAAGTTAAGACAGGAGCTGGCTGTTTCATTTCTTTTGTAGTTTTCAGTTGTCTCAAGCCATCTGGATGTACACGTGCAGGCTTGGGCCCAGAGGCCTGACATTCCTGTCTTCTTATTTTAAGAAAAATAAAACATAATAGAGGTGAAGTGTTGGGGCAGCAAAAATTCTTGGGGGGTGGTACAGAGAGATAATGGGCGATGTTTCTCAGGGTTGCTTCAAGCGGGATTAGGGGATGTGTGGACACCTTAAAGAAAATTTTATAATGAGTTGCAAGGAATAGGAATTTAGGCTGTGGAGAGATCTTGGGGCAGATGATGGTACCGTGGACTTGTTAAAAGTAAAATTTGTCATATAGAATAATTGGTGATGGTCTCAATACGTTTTTGTATGAATTGAGAAACCAAATGCAAGACACAAGGCCTAAATAGAGAAGGAGAAAAACAGGTACCAGGGGACTAAGAATAGGGAGGAGCCAAGATGCCCAGTTAGAAAGTGTCTACATGGGTCCAGAGTAATTATTTGCCTGGGTGGTGAGATTTTGGGCTTTATCTTTAAGCTTTTTTTATATTGTTATATACCAGGCCAGATTGGTTTAGATAAAAATAACATTCTTCATTTAAAAATATACAGAGTTCTCCTTTTTCAGCAGTGAGTAGGTCAAGGCCTCAGCGACTTTGGAGGATGACTACAGCTAAGGAGTCAACCTGGGCCTGAAGGACTGATAAAGTTTGTGATATATCTGTAATGCTAGTAGAAAAATCATTAGAAAGGCTACAGAAAGTTGTGACAGAAGTTGAAACGCCTAGTTATACCTGGGGAGTCCATCTTGTATTGGCAATGGGGATCCTCTTGGGGAACTGCCCTTGTGCCTTCTTGAAGGTCTGGCTCATGACACCAGTGGGTGTCAGTGTGAGATTGGGCTATGGTATAAACTGTTTCCCGCTCATCTCAGGAGAGGGTAGAAGTCAGGAGGACATTTAAGTCCCTCCAGGTTAAATTGTAGGACTGAGTTAAATATTGGAATTCCTGTATATATTTAGTGGGGTCTGATGAGAAAGAGCCTAAAAGGTGACTGATGGGAGAGGTCCAATAGAGAAAAAGGCACCTGACTATGCCTTCAGCTCCAGCCACCTCTTTAAGAGGAAATTGTTGGGCGGGGGGGAAGGGCTAGTCTCGGACTGAAACTGTTAGCTGGATCGGGTGTGAGGAGGGGAGGTGATAGAAGGATTATACAGTGGAGGAGCAGAGGCTGAGGAAGAATTGGGACTTGGCCTGTTGAGGAGCAGCCTGGTGGGAAGGGGAGAGGTCAGATGGGTTCATAGAAAAGGAGGATTCAAAGGACTCAGAGCTTGGGGTGGAGACTGAAGGAAGAGACAGGAGAGAAAGAAGAAAGATTTAGAATGAGTCACATTGGGAGCAGAGACTATGGAGAGACCAATGTGTAAGAGAATGCCTGGATGTCAGGCACCTCAGACATTTTGCCCATTTTTCAACAAAAATCATCCAGGTCTTGTAAGATGGAGAAATCAAGTGTCATTTTCTGGTTATTTGGAACCATTGTCAAGTTTGTATTGGGGCCAAGCAGCATTGCAGAAGAAAATAAGGCATTTAGGTTTTAGGTCAGGTGTTAGTCAAAGGGGTTTTAGGTTTTGAAGAACACAGGCTAAGGAAGAAGGGGGAATGGAGGGTGGAAGTTTGCCCATAGTGAAGGAGGCAACCCCAGAGAAAAGAGAAGGTAGAGACACGGAGATGAGGGGATGGTACTTGCCACCCAGGGAAGGTGGTACTTGCCATCCAGAGGAGGTGGTACTTGCCACCAAGGTGAACGATCAAGGCAGGCATCCGGACAGTGATCAGATACGTCTGAAATGTGGGTGAATCACCAGGCAGACATCTCTACAGTGATTTAGACACCAAGGGAAGACTGTTCCTGAGTTCATGACCAGCACCAGAGTTTTGAGTTCATGGATAAAACGCATCTCCTCTGTCTGTACCAGAAAGGGAAAGAAACTGAAATTAAGGAAGGGAGAGATTGAAGGGGGGAGGGATAGCAAGAGAGGTTGGAGAAGAGAATAAAAAGAGGCTGCTTACCCGATTTAAAATTGGTGAGATGTCCTTGGACTGGCTGTTCTGAGGACCCAAGGTCATAGGTGGATCTCCTCATGGAGTGAGGGTGAGGACAGGGAACTGGTCTCCCGAAGGAGTCCCCCGTCCTGGGTCTTTGGCACCAAATGTCATGCACATCCGTGTGAAGAGACCACCAAAAAGTCTTTGTGTGAGCAATAAAGGTTTTTAATCACCTGGGTGCAGGCCAACTGAATCTGAAAAAGGAGTCAGCAAAAAGAGACAGGGGTAGGGCAGTTTTATAGGACTGGGGTAAGCAGTGGAAAGTTACAGTTAAAAGAGGTTATCTATTGTCAGCAGAGGAGGGGGTCACAAGGTTCATGGTGGGGAGATCGTAAGACTTATTGTCCAGAAGATTGTCACGAGGTTGATCGATTGATCAACTGGGGCAGGGCAGGAACAAGTCATAATGGAATGTTGTAAGGTTGGTGAATCAGTTAAGACAGGAGCTGGCTGTTTCACTTCATTTGTAGTTTTTGGTTGCCTCAGGCCATCTGGATGTATACATACAGACTTGGGTTCAGAGACCTGAAACCCACCATCTTTCCCATGTCAACTCTTTAGTAGATGAACCCCCAAGATACACATTCGAGGGACTTTCTCTTCCATAGTTAAAACTTCACCCCTGAAATGTAGAAACAGGAAAGTTTTCCAGTGCAAACTCCAAGCAAGTGTCATAATTTGCTGTGTCCGATGTGTAGAGGGGACATTTTTTCAGAACGTCCATGTTAAGCTGGAACACTGGAAAGCAAGTCCTCTTTGTCATTTTGTCACTCACTCATTTTCTCACTCAACAAACATGCCTCGGCCGGGCGCGGTGGCTCAAGCCTGTAATCCCAGCACTCTGGGAGGCCGAGGTGGGCGGATCACGAGGTCAGGAGATCGAGACCATCCTGGCTAACACGGTGAAACCCCGTCTCTACTAAAAAAAATACAAAAAACTAGCCGGGCGAGGTGGCGGGCGCCTGTAGTCCCAGCTATTCGGGAGGCTGAGGCAGGAGAATGGTGTAAACCCGGGAGGCGGAGCTTGCAGTGAGCTGAGATCCGGCCACTGCACTCCAGCCCGGGCGACAGAGCGAGACTCCGTCTCAAAAAAATAATAATAATAAAAATAAAAAAAATAAAAAATAAAAAAACATGCCTCACACTTATCTAAATCTGCTAGTCTAAAAGAGGTCCCTCATGTCTGTAACTTTCTAATTCTGCCAGAATCCTAAAGTGAGCTCATGAAATAAATGAAAAGGATGAAGAACAAAGAGATAAAAGAGTGTATGTTCCCTTCTGACGCTCTCCCTTTCCCTTAACCTCAGTTTCTCCACATGCCCCTGGAGGTGATCATTCAGGGAAAGCAAAGAGACATCAGAAAGACAAGGAGTTACTTAGTATTTATACACAAGGATCAGTCATTCAGTATCCACAACACTTAAAGAAAATTCAAGAGTGATTTTAAATTTCCCATGTCAAATACCTCCTCTGTTTTCTCTCCTTTCCCTTATGATGTCTCTAAATAAGCTTCCCCTAACTGCCGACAAGTCTAATTTCATTGGATTTGACTGTTTTCAGCCCCAATTAGAGGCAGGGTTAAGTACATTTAAAACAATAATCAAATATTATTTTGTTTCTCCTCCCAGGGCTTTTGGACGTTTGACATGGAATGTTATAAAAAGTACAGAAAAGTCTGGGGGTGAGTATTCTAGAAACTTCCATTGGATAGACTTGTTTCTATGATGAGTTTACCCCACTGCACAGAGGACAGTCTCAGCCCAGAGCCTCTTGGGATGAAACTCTTGCCAACCTAACTACAAACAGAGAGGCTCTCTGAAAGAAGAGGATACGTATTTGGGAGTAGAGTATTAGAATGGGAATCTGTGTGCCATTATAAGCTATGTGCAAATTCAGGGAGGGAAAGGAAGACAAAGATGTTCCAAGGAAAATATGAGGAGGACTTCACATGGGTTTTGAAATAGTTCTCCTTCACTACAAAGATCAGTAACAAGGGTGATGCCACACCAAGTTTGGACAGGCAGTTGCTTGGCAGGTGTCCTTGCAGAAATATTTTTGTGTAAAGTTGGGATGGGCTTTTTGCAAGCTTGTGGTTTTGCAAAGTCTTTTGTGATAGTTTTGTTATCAGGCACTCAAGCATCATAGCCTTCTGTGATTTGTCAGGGTTTTTAATCACACACATAGGCACACAGACACACTGACACACACATGTGCCACAATTTTGGTTCTCACAACGTTCACACTCGCTATTGTAAAACTCTTTGAGGCTTGTCCTACCAAGGATCCCGTATGCCATCAGGTGTTGAGGTCTTCGGTCTAAACAAGGCTGGGAGCATTGTGGTTACCACTTTTCTCCAGGCTTTGGTGGCCCAGGGACTCCCAGCATCATGTTCTGTCCAGTATCTCCCTATTCCCCCCTTCTTTTTTTCTTCCCTTGGTGCCTTTTATCTCATGCATTGTCTCAGATGCTTCTAATATGTGCTCATAAATGCAGGGCACTGTCTTCTTCCCACATCGATTCACTTTCAGTTAAAAGCCAAAACTCTTTCATTTAAACTTAGGATTTAACATGCTTTTGAAAGAAGGGTTGAGAGATATAGAGAAACAGACTGGGAAATGATTTATGCTCTGTTGTTTCTTTTTTTTAACTTTCTGTGTAAGTGTAGAATTTTTCGTTCTGTTTTATTATTAACTTTAAGCCAAGACTTTTTAATAGAAGGATATACAAATATATCTTTGTCTATACCTTTCTGCTGAATTTGAAGAAATGGTGAATATTCTTTTTTTTTAAATTTATTTATTATTATTATACTTTAAGTTGTAGGGTACATGTGCATAACGTGCAGCTTTGTTACATATGTATACTTGTGCCATGTTGGTGTGCTGCACCCATCAACTCGTCATTTACATCAGGTATAACTCCCAATGCAATCCCTCCCCGCTCCCCCCTCCCCATGATAGGCCCCTGTGTGTGATGTTCCCCTTCCTAAGTCCAAGTGATCTCATTGTTCAGTTCCCACCTATGAGTGAGAACATGCGGTGTTTGGTTTTCTGTTCTTGTGATAGTTTGCTAAGAATGATGGTTTCCAGCTGCATCCATGTCCCTACAAAGGACACAAACTCATCCTTTTTGATGGCTGCATAGTATTCCATGGTGTATATGTGCCACATTTTCTTAATCCAATCTGTCACTGATGGACATTTGGGTTGATTCCAAGTCTTTGCTATTGTGAATAGTGCTGCAATAAACATACGTGTGCATGTGTCTTTATAGCAGCATAATTTATAATCCTTTGGGTATATACCCAGTAATGGATGGCTGGGTCGTATGGTACATCTAGTTCTAGATCCTTGAGGAATCGCCATACTGTTTTCCATAATGGTTGAACTAGTTTACAATCCCACCAACAGTGTAAAAGTGTTCCTATTTCTCCGCATCCTCTCCAGCACCTGTAGTTTCCTGACTTTTGAATGATCGCCATTCTAACTGGTGTGAGATGGTATCTCATTGTGGTTTTGATTTGCATTTCTCTGATGGCCAGTGATGATGAGCATTTTTTCATGTGTCTGTTGGCTGTATGAATGTCTTCTTTGAGAAATGTCTGTTCATATCCTTGCCCACTTTTTGATGGGGTTGTTTGTTTTTTTCTTGTAAATTTGTTGAGTTCTTTGTAGGTTCTGGATATTAGCCCTTTGTCAGATGAGTAGATTGCAAACATTTTCTCCCATTCTGTAGGTTGCCTGTTCACTCTGATGGTAGTTTCTTTTGCTGCGCAGAAGCTCTTTAGTTTAATGAGATCCCATTTGTCAATTTTGGCTTTTGCTGCCGTTGCTTTTGGTGTTTTAGACATGAAGTCTTTGCCCATGCCTATGTCCTGAATGGTACTACCTAGGTTTTCCTCTAGGATTTTTATGGTATTAGGTCTAACATTTAAGTCTCTAATCCATCTTGAATTAATTTTCGTATAAGGAGTGAGGAAAGGATCCAGTTTCAGCTTTCTACTTATGGCTAGCCAATTTTCCCAGCACCATTTATTAAATAGGGAATCCTTTCCCCATTTCTTGTTTCTCTCAGGTTTGTCAAAGATCAGATGGCTGTAGATGTGTGGTATTATTTCTGAGGACTCTGTTCTGTTCCATTGGTCTATATCTCTGTTTTGGTACCAGTACCATGCTGTTTTGGTTACTGTAGCCTTGTAGTATAGTTTGAAGTCAGGTAGCGTGATGCCTCCAGCTTTGTTCTTTTGATTTAGGATTGTCTTGGAGATGCGGGCTCTTTTTTGGTTCCATATGAACTTTAAAGCAGTTTTTTCCAATTCTGTGAAGAAACTCATTGGTAGCTTGATGGGGATGGCATTGAATCTATAAATAACCTTGGGCAGTATGGCCATTTTCACGATATTGATTCTTCCTATCCATGAGCATGGTATGTTCTTCCATTTTTTGTGTCCTCTTTTATTTCACTGAGCAGTGGTTTGTAGTTCTCCTTGAAGAGGTCCTTTACATCCCTTGTAAGTTGGATTCCTAGGTATTTTATTCTCTTTGAAGCAATTGTGAATGGAAGTTCATTCCTGATTTGGCTCTCTGTTTGTCTGTTACTGATGTATAAGAATGCTTGTGATTTTTGCACATTAATTTTGTATCCTGAGACTTTGCTGAAGTTGCTTATCAGCTTAAGGAGATTTTGGGCTGAGACAATGGGGTTTTCTAAATATACAATCATGTCATCTGCAAACAGGGACAGTTTGACTTCTTCTTTTCCTAACTGAATACCCTTTATTTCTTTCTCTTGCCTAATTGCCCTAGCCAGAACTTCCAGCACTATGTTGAATAGGAGTGGTGAGAGAGGGCATCCCTGTCTTGTGCCAGTTTTCAAAGGGAATTTTTCCAGTTTTTGCCCATTCAGTATGATATTGGCTGTGGGTTTGTCATAAATAGCTCTTATTATTTTGAGGTACGTTCCATCAATACCGAATTTATTGAGCGTTTTTAGCATGAAGGGCTGTTGAATTTTGTCAAAAGCCTTTTCTGCATCTATTGAGATAATCATGTGGTTCTTGTCTTTGGTTCTGTTTATATGCTGGATTATGTTTATTGATTTGCGAATGTTGAACCAGCCTTGCATCCCAGGGATGAAGCCCACTTGATCATGGTGGATAAGCTTTTTGATGTGTTGCTGAATCCGGTTTGCCAGTATTTTATTGAGGATTTTTGCATCGATGTTCATCAGGGATATTGGTCTAAAATTCTCTTTTTTGGTTGTGTCTCTGCCAGGCTTTGGTATCAGGATGATGTTGGCCTCATAAAATGAGTTAGGGAGGATTCCCTCTTTTTCTATTGATTGGAATAGTTTCAGAAGGAATGGTACCAACTCCTCCTTGTACCTCTGGTAGAATTCAGCTGTGAATCCATCTGGTCCTGGACTTTTTTTGGTTGGTAGGCTATTAATTATTGCCTCAATTTCAGAGCCTACTATTGGTCTATTCAGGGATTCAACTTCTTCCTGGTTTAGTCTTGGAAGAGTGTAAGTGTCCAGGAAATTATCCATTTCTTCTAGATTTTCCAGTTTATTTGCGTAGAGGTGTTTATAGTATTCTCTGATGGTAGTTTGTATTTCTGTGGGGTCGGTGGTGATATCCCCTTTATCATTTTTTATTGCATCTATTTGATTCTTCTCTCTTTTCTTCTTTATTAGTCTTGCTAGTGGTCTGTCAATTTTGTTGATCTTTTCAAAAAACCAACTCCTGGATTCATTGATTTTTTGGAGAGTCTTTTGTGTCTCTATCTCCTTCAGTTCTGCTCTGATCTTAGTTATTTCTTGCCTTCTGCTAGCTTTCGAATGTGTTTGCTCTTGCTTCTCTAGTTCTTTTAATTGCGATGGTAGAGTGTCAATTTTAGCTCTTTCCTGCTTTCTCTTGTGGGCATTTAGTGCTATAAATTTCCCTCTACACACTGCTTTAAATGTGTCCCAGAGATTCTGGTATGTTGTATCTTTGTTCTCATTGGTTTCAAAGAACATCTTTATTTCTGCCTTCATTTCATTACGTACCCAGTAGTCATTCAGGAGCAGGTTGTTCAGTTTCCATGTAGTTGAGCGGTTTTGATTGAGTTTCTTACTCTTGAGTTCTAGTTTGATTGCACTGTGGTCTGAGAGACAGTTTGTTATAATTTCTGTTCTTGTACATTTGCTGAGGAGTGCTTTACTTCCAATTACGTGGTCGATTTTGGAGTAAGTACGATGTGGTGCTGAGAAGAATGTATATTCTGTTGATTTGGGGTGGAGAGTTCTATAGATGTCTATTAGGTCTGCTTGCTGCAGAGATGAGTTCAATTCCTGGATATCCTTGTTAACTTTCTGTCTCGTTGATCTGTCTAATGTTGACAGTGGAGTGCTGAAGTCTCCCATTATTATTGTATGGGAGTCTAAGTCTCTTTGTAAGTCTCTAAGGACTTGCTTTATGAATCTGGGTGCTCCTGTATTGGGTGCATATATATTTAGGATAGTTAGCTCTTCCTGTTGAATTGATCCCTTTACCATTATGTAATGGCCTTCTTTGTCTCTTTTGATCTTTGATGGTTTAAAGTCTGTTTTGTCAGAGACTAGTATTGCAACCCCCGCTTTTTTTTGTTCTCCATTTGCTTGGTAAATCTTCCTCCATCCCTTTATTTTGAGCCTATGTA